TCTAGATTAGATGCACCTAAAAAAATAAAAACAAATTTAATTTAAAAAGAAAAAAGTTCACTAAAGATGAAAAAAGACAATAGTAAACTTTTCATTTCAAATTGACAATACAGGTATTTGAGTCGGTATATATATATTTTTTCATCTTTTGTATTTTGTATTTTTTATTTTTTTAGGTGCATTTAATCTAGATGCATCTATAATATAATAATGTTTATGAATGATCAGCATAATTTACCCATGTATTAATGTAACATATTACGAGAGTAATTAAGAGGTGAAATGACCGACTAACGATTCTCTATCCTCAAATTTCTATTCCTTCCCTAATGTGATTCCCAATTAAAACAAGAAAATGGGAGTTGGGAGTTCCGAAAACATGATCTTGCAATTAAAAATGTATTGGACCAATTGACATGAATTTTGAGAACAAAAGATCCGTGTTAAAAAATGTTAGATCAATGCACACCTGATCCCAATGCTGCGAACTAAACCCATTGAAACCAGATGGCATGCCAAGTAGTTTCGAAGGATATGGTTGTGTCTATGTCTAGCTCACCATCCTCCCCTAAAACACTCTTAGTTTTACCAACTCCTGCATGCATGTGAGTGAAATAAATTGCAATAAATAAATAAAAATTTAAAAAATGAAGACAAACATCCAAAAAAATGCTACTCTTACAAACCAAACAATTCATTGCAAGTTTGTTTATAATGAATGGTGAAAAGAGTAGGTGGAAAAGACCACACTACAAGAAAATACACTTTTGGCGACCATCTTTGCTGACTAAAAATTTTTGGTTGCCAAAAGTTGTGGAGTTGGAGTCCAAAAATTATGTTAGCCGGTAAAAGTGCAATATTTAGCTACTAAATTTTTTTAGTTGGGGTATATTGATTATTGGCGACTAAAAAAAAATTTAGTCGCTAAAAATGTCACAATTGGCGACTAAAAAAAATTTAGTCGCTAAATTTGTCACAATTGGCGACTAAAAAAGTATTTTAGTTGCTGTATAGTTAGTTTTGGCTACTAAAATTATTTAGTCGCCGAATGAAAAATAAAGTCTAACTTTTTATTTTTTGCAACCAAAAGTTTGGTTGCAAAATATTTATTTTTAGCGACTGAAAAATATTTTAGCCGCTGTATAGATAGTTTTGGCAACTAAAATTATTTAGTCTTCGAATCAAAAATAAAAATTTACTTTTTATCTTTGGCAACCAAAAGTTTGGTCGGCAAAAATTTAATTTCAGCGACTAAAAAATATTTTAGTCACTGTATAGATAGTTTTGGCAACTAAAATAATTTAGTCACTGAATGAAAAATAAAAATTTACTTTTTATCTTTGGTGACCAAAAGTTTGGTCAGCAAAAATTTAATTTCAGCGACTAAAAAATATTTTTTTTGCTGTATAGATAGTTTTGGAAACTAAAATAATTTAGTCGCTGAATGAAAAATAAAAATTTACTTTTTATCTTTGGCGACCAAAAGTTTGGTCGGTAAAAATTTAATTTCAGTGACTAAAAAATATTTTAGTCACTGTATAGATAGTTTTGGCAACTAAAATATTTTAGTCGCTGAATGAAAAATAAAAATTTACTTTTTATCTTTGGCGACCAAAAGTTTGGTCAACAAAAATTTAATTTCAGCGACTAAAAAATATTTTAGTCGCTGTATAGATAGTTTTGGCTACTAAAATAATTTAGTTGCTGAATAAAAAATAAAAATTTATTTTTTATCTTTAGCGACCAAAAGTTTGGTCGGCAAAAATTTAATTTCAGCGACTAAAAAATATTTTAGCCGCTGTATAGATAGTTTTGGCAACTAAAATAATTTAGTCGCTGAATCAAAAATAAAAATTTATTTTTTATCTTTGGCAATCAAAAGTTTGGTCTGCAAAAATTTAATTTCAGCGACTAAAAAATATTTTAGTCGCTGTATAGATAGTTTTGGAAACTAAAATAATTTAGTCGTTGAATCAAAATAAAAATTTACTTTTTATCTTTGGCGACCAAAAGTTTGGTCGGCAAAAATTTAATTTCAGCGACTAAAAAATATTTTACTCGCTGTATAGTTAGTTTTGGCTACTAAAATAATTTAGTCGCCAAGTGAAAAATAAAATCTAACTTTTTATTTTTTGCAACCAAAAGTTTGGTCGCAAAATATTTATTTTTAGAGACTAAAAAATATTTTAGTCGCTGTATAGATAGTTTTGGCAACTTTACTTTTTATCTTTGGCAACCAAAAGTTTGGTTGGCAAAAATTTAATTGCTGTATAGATAGTTTTGGCAACTAAAATATTTTAATCGCTGAATGAAAAATAAAAATTTACTTTTTATCTTTGGCGACCAAAAGTTTGGTTGGCAAAAATTTAATTTCAGCGACTAAAAAATATTTTAGTTGCGGTATAGATAGTTTTGTCAACTAAAATACTTTAGTCGCTGAATGAAAAATAAAAATTTACTTTTTATCTTTGGCGACCAAAAGTTTGGTCGCCAAAAATTTATTTTCAGCGACTAATAAATATTTTAGTCATTGTATAGTTACTTTTGGCTACTAAATTTATTTAGTCGCTGAAAGGAAAACAAAAATTTACTTTTATTTTTGGCGACTAAAAGTTTGATCGCCAGAAATTTATTTTCAACAACTAAATAAAGTTTAGTCGTCATATACCAACTTTTGCCAACTAAAAGAAATTTAGTCGCCAAATATCTAGTATAATTTTATTTTTAATCTTTGGTGACTACCTCATTTGGTCGGCAAATATACCTTTTTGGTGACTAAAACACATTTAGTCAGCAATAAAATTTAATTTTTTTTTGTGGGAACACATACTGCCCAATTTGAGTTCATGTTTAATTTTATTATTATTATTATCATTATTATTTATTATTATAATTTTATTTTTTTATTTATTATCATTTTGGAGGGATTTTTAAATTAATTTGGTGAGGAACTCTGGAGGGATTTCAAACACACTAAAATGGGTTAGGGCTTAAACACGTCTCTCTCTCTCTCGCATCTGCCCTATTCGATTCTCTCACGCCTTTGTCTCTCTCATTCCATTACTTTCTCTCTCTATCTCTCTCTCTTTCTCTCTCATGCCGATTGCCCTCCTCCTGATATTGAATCTCTGTTGCTTTGTTTCCATCGCCGTCGAGTAAGGAGCATCACTGCCATCGAGCACCACCGTCGATCCACTATTGAAGCATTACCCCAATATGTCCTCTCTATTTTGTCTTCTCTTTGTCCCTCTTTCTGCATCTCTTCCCCTAATATTTGTCTCTCTCACTCTGTGACTCTCTCTGTCTTTTTTTTCTTTTTGACTAAAGTAATTTTGTTCTACAATGTCTTACCCACCAGGGCCTTCACCATCCCCATTTTCTAGAGCATCTTCAACTCTCCCTAAAAACAATTTGAGGTATAAATATCCCTCTCTTTCTATAAAATGATTCAAGGAACATGTAATTTCCCTAAAAACATCTTCTCTCCCTGTCTATTTGTCTGCCTCTGTGTGTGTGTCTTCAACAAAAAAGGCCTTTGGTAACAGGTTGATTTTGTCTCCAAACATCAAATTTTAGTCACAAAAGTGATCTGTGACGAAAAAAATTTGTCACCACGTTTGTTACCTATACGCTGTCACCGAAAGTACCTGGTGACGAAAAACAGTTTTGTCGCCTATTTTTCATTTTTGGCGACAAAATGTTTCGTCTCCAAATGTTGAATTTTTCGTCCTCTATAACATCAATTTCGTCATCAAAACTAAATAATATTTTATTTTAATTGTTTTTGGCGACGAAATATTTCATCACCAAATAGATTTTAGTGACGAAAGTTTTCCTTACCAATGATATAGATTAAGGTGACAAAAAAATTCATCACTAAAATGAGCAGAAAAAAAAATTCTTCAATGACAAAAAACATTTTGTCACCAAATATTTCAATTTAGCGACGAAATATTCAGCAAATGTGACGAAATTATTTGTTTGGTACTATATCATTAGTGACAAAATTATTCGTCATGTTTTTTGGAAACTAATAGCGACATTTTTTATTTTGTTGCTAATAAAAATTAAAAATTTTTAAAATGGGGGTACTATTTTCAAATTAAAATTTTTCTTTTCAGTAAAAATTCCCTGCGTATTTCAATAACCTGTTCAATAAAATAACTGTATGGGTGATTTTCTAATCACACTGCCCGCCTAGTAATCAGCTGGAGAGCACTGGCAGAATAGATGGCACCTGACTGACCTGCAACAGAAATATATGAATCCCGCGGTGGTTTCGACCACCCGGGGGCACTCCGACGATCAAGTCAATCTGTATACATACAAGTTTACTTACGTAATTTCATCCATATTAAATAAGTGTCTTGAGCCTATATTGGCTAATAGCAATAGGAGATTCAACCAACATTGCTGTTAGGAATTGCAGAACAACAGACACAAAAAGTAGAGAAGAACAATAAATAAGAATCATAAATCACATGTACATACATGAACACAAGATTTCTGTGGCTAGGACCAAGTCCACCGTTGTCATGGTTTCACTATGATCAAAAAGAGTTACAAATGAGACACATAGATAGCCGCCCCCCAACTACATTTACAAAGAATTAAGGCTACATGTCACAAGTACAGAAATACCAAAACTACTCTGTGGTCAAGTGGTTAGCGTCGAGTACTTATCAGGGTCCACACTACCTAATACCCAACAATTGCAGCACTTTCTTATATATCTTTTATATCACTTATGTCATTTCCTCTTCTTCTTTTTTTTTCTTTTTTTTTTTTTCCAATCCTTTCTGTGCATCCACACATATTTGATTGATGCTTCACCTTCTCACTGAAGTGTGAAGATGCTAAATTTATTCCTGTTAGAACCTTTCATTCACTCAGATAGTGTTCAAGAATTTTTATATGCATGCTTCATGTTCAAGAACTAGAGCTGCGATATGTTTTATGAGCCTGCCTTTGAGCCTTTAGTTGTATTGTTGGAAGCAGGTGCCGATAACCTGGTTCCTATGGAACTTGCGTTGAAAATTGCCAGCAAAATCAGCGCAAACGAACGTTTCTCTGTCTATATAGTAATTCCAATGTATCCAGAGGGTGTCCCCACTAGCTCCGCTACGCAAGAAATTCTTTTTTGGCAGGTTAGACTGATCTCTCATTTCTCTGTAGTTCATTAATATATATTTTTAATATTAAAATGAGTTCTGCAATCAATGTGCTCTGCTCATTTTCCTAAATGTAAATTCGTGTATTAAGTTTAGGACTTAACTACTGATTAAGCATGCCCTTGGGCTAATCATGAATTCAAACGATCACAGGGGCAGACAATGGCTATGATGTACAAAATCATTGCAGAGGCTCTTGAAAAGGAAGGTCTATCTGATAAGTATCACCCACAGGATTATTTGAACTTCTATTGCCTTGGAAAGCGTGAAGCTTCATCTCCGGAAAATCCACAAACTAATCAGCCTCCTGAAAACAGTGCATTGGTATAGTATTTCTTATTCTAAGAAACTATAAGGCGACTCATGTAATAACATACAAAAAGCCAAGACACATAGTTGTTGTAAATTGTACATTCATGTTAGTCCAGATCTAATGCTTCAAATCACAAGTCGAGGGAAAAATAAATAAATAAACCCTCACATTCATGAACATGTTGAAGAAGGAATGATAAAAATTCCTTGAACCTGTGTGTGTGTGAGAGAGAGAGAGAGAGAGAATCTCAAAGTAACTTCCAAATTGTTTTAGTACTTGATCCTCATTTATAGATTAGTCTTTTTTTTTTTTTTTCCCCTTTTGTCTGTATTTATTTTCTTGTTTTCATCTGAACTTTTCCATACAAAACAAATGGTACTTTAATAAATCTGAAATAGTGAGAGCGGGTGAGATATCTTCTTTTTTTTTCTTCTTCTTCTTCAGAAGTTTCAATATTAAAATTCATTCTTTAAAACAGTTGTGTTCATTCTAACTTCTAACTGTCTTCCATTTGAAATATGTTTCCTATTCTTCCTTTTTTGGCCAGGGATTAGCTGGTGAATTAAATGTATTCCATGTAAAATATGTTTCCCACTTTTCCTTTTTGCACAGAGATTAGCTGAAAAGTACCGGAGATTTATGATCTATGTCCATGCCAAAGGGATGATAGTTGACGATGAGTATGTGATAATAGGATCTGCAAACATAAATCAGAGGTCTTTAGATGGTTCAAGGGATACAGAAATTGCTATGGGTGCTTATCAACCAAATTACACATGGGCAGGAAAGAAGAGGCATCCACGTGGACAGGTTTGAAACTAAAACTCATCTGAACAGTTATTACATTGCTAGAAACAAAACCAAGGGCCTCTAGCTTAGTTGGCTAGCTCTTTGGCCACTAAGTCTCTCCTAAGGGGAGGTCTTGGGTTCCACTCTTAGGAGTGAAACGGGAGGGCAAGATCTTCTTGCAAGGTGTATGGGTGTGATACTAATCTAGCAACTAACCACTAACTTTCGCTGATCAAAAAAAACAAAAAAACATTGCTAGAAACAAGAAAAAATTGTAAAGATACAACTATGATGGTTCATATAATGATTAGTTATGTCAAGACCTTGTTAGGAGTTCTTGGGTGGTGGTTGACAACCATAAATGACTACGGGGCTCATTGGGAAACCTTAATTCAGACGGCTTCAAAATTATGTTCATTTCTCTGTGTGATGGATTGTTTTGTGCATTTTTATTTCTTCCCACGAAGAATGAGTTTTCTATTTTTGGAGGGATTTGAACCTACCATCTGAGACCAAATGTTGGCCTAGTGGATGAGGTGCTCCCTTGTGTGATGGCCAAGTACCAGTCTCATTACTGTGTTATGCAGCTTCCCCTTCCCTATTATTACAGAGAGAGTGTGCACTCACTCATTATGCATTCATTGGAACAACATTGTTGGATGCAGGTGTACGGGTATCGGATGTCTCTTTGGGCTGAACACCTTGGCATCCTTGAAGATTCTTTCCACGAACCAGAAACTCTCAAATGCGTTAAACACGTCAATGAGATTGCCAAGAAAAACTGGAAGGCGTACGTGGAAGAGGAGAACACGGAAATGACAGGACATTTGATGCGATATCCAGTCCAGGTAAGTATACATGGAAAAATCAGTGCATTGCCGGGTTATGAATGCTTTCCTGATGTTGGAGGTAAGATTCTTGGAGCGCCCACCAATCTTCCCGATGCCCTAACAACCTAATGTTTTCATCAGAGAACACAGTTGGAGGGTAAAATTTAAATGAAGCACAAGTATGATCAAGTCATGTATATTGTGTCGAAATGGAACTGTCAAATTTTTTATTGGATATAGGAACTGAGAATAGGAGTGCTACCAAGAATGATCCAATTATGTATATTGTGTACATTTGATTTGTTGAATTTATGCTTTTTACACAGTTGATATGATCAACCATATGAAGTTGTCATGTCAGCAAATGCTTGAAAATGTTTAGATGTAAATTTCAGCGCGATAGCGTAACAAAAGATTCTGTAATCCCATTGTTTTGTGAATCCCCATGATTTGCAAATTGAACAATAACTCATGCAAGTGAAAATGTTTCTTCTTGTTCTTGTTTTTCATTTTTTGTCCTTTTTGTTTTGTTCATGGTGTGTTTTTATGAACCATCAAAGTGAGTTACACCAATGTTACAAGGCTAGCTAGCTATATGGGCTGCTATTGCGAAAAAATAACAATAAGTTCGACTTTTTCCTCTCTAATGGCTGGTTTTGTTTTGTTTTTGGTTTTTTATGACAAGTCTTTTGTCTCTATGTCTCTAAAGATAGGATCACATATAGCCTTTTAATTTTTAATTCTGTAAGAAAATAGAAGAAATAACATTTGTACCATTAGACAAACATTATCAAAATATGCACAATATTTTGTATGGAGATGACAAATTTAACAGGAAACAAAAACAAGAAAATAAAGAAACAAAGATGAAAACTAACTCAATTTTATGTATGATTTTCTGTAACTTTTTGATAAATCTCTTGTTTTCTTACCTCATAAACTTAAAATAATAATAATAATAATAATAAATAACATCAGTGTTGGGGACAAAGAATTTTTGGCACAAATTGTGCATTCTCAAATTTATTTTTTAAGAGATTTGGTCAAAATCCCCTCATAATAAAATTTTAGGTCATGTTTGATTCATAACACTAATAGTGAAGTATTAACAATCCTATTAAATTAGTGTGGTATTCACTATCCAATTGGATTAATATCCATTGGATTAATAATCCCACCCCTACCCCATTACTAATAATCGTATAAATTTGTTGGATTAATTATCCATTGGATTATTAATCCTAAATCAAAATGTTAAAACAAACATAGGATAATTGAGCCCACGGATTAATAATCTCAATCCCATACTCCAATCCACCCAATCAAACATGTCCTTAATGTATTAAAGACAAGTACAAAAAGTTTTCTTTGAAAAGTTTAACACATACCACTATTATTAAAATTTTAAACTTTAAAATAATATAACTTTTGATCTACATGTTGATTTTTAATAAAATTAGTAATTTTAGAATTCTCTCATCAAAATCTATCAAACAAGATTCATGTTAACTATGAAACTCTTAAAAATATATATATTATTATTACTGTCGAAATTCATATAAACAGCAACATATTATTTTGTCTCACAGTAATATGGTACTCTGACTATATTATCCAAGATAAAAAAAAATATATTTTACTTTATGCTTGTTCAATTATGTAAAAAAAATATTTTCCTTTATACTTGTTCAATTATGTGCATCCACCTCAGGGATCTATGAAGTAAAATAATTTAGGTTATCTTTTTTACTAAATAAGGGTACAATAGAAGAGTTTTAACTAAATTTTTCTTATTTTTAAAATGGTACACAGTACACCGGAGCTAAATTCCAATCACACATTTCACTTTTTAATTTCTTTGCAGTTTTTGTGCTAAGATTTTCAAGTCTATGTGTATTTTATTCAAAGGTTAATTTGAAACGAGATATTCAACTTAGGCTACAATGTTTGATTATGTTTATGTTTTATTGGTGAAGTGGGGTTTGAATAAAAAATAAAAAAATATATTTTTTTCATAATTTTTAGGGCAAATTACATATACCCCTCGAGGTTTGGCTAAATTACAAATACCCCTCTGAGGTTTGAGAAATTACAAATTTCTCCCTGAATGCTATATTTGCATAACAAATTAGGGAGTAATTTGTTATGAAATTTAAATCTCATGGGACAAATTGTTATGAAAATACAAACCTTAGGGGGCGGGATGTAATTTCTGAAATCTCAGGGAGTATCTGTAATTTAGCCAAATCTCAAGGGAGGTATATATAATTTGCTCTAATTTTTTCAAGGGAAAAAAGACATACACAGAAATAAGGTGTCAACGACATCGAGTTAAGTATTATATGGCGCAAAACATGACTAATCCGGACCGCATAGCGCAGTGGATTAGCGCGTCTGACTTCGGATCAGAAGGTCGTGGGTTCGACTCCCACTGTGGTCGATTTGTTTTTAATTGCCCCGCAATTATCTTCTAATTACACTAACCTCCTCTAATTTTATTTTTTATTGCCCCACGCTGCTTCTGATGTAATTACACTAATTTCTTAAACTTTAAAGCGATCGAAACTAATGTCATTAGTTGATGAATACTGAAATAAATGAAGATAAATATTATTCTGGTTGAAAAAATAAATAGTGATTATATTTTATTTGACAGATAGTAATAATAACTCCCACTGTGGTCGATTTGTTTTTAATTGCCCCGCAATTATCTTATAATTACACTAACCTCCTCTAATTTTATTTTTTATTGCCCCACGCTGCTTCTGATGTAATTACACTAATTTCTTAAACTTTAAAGCGATCGAAACTAATGTCATTAGTTGATGAATACTGAAATAAATGAAGATAAATATTATTCTGGTTGGAAAAATAAATAGTGATTACATTTTATTTGACATATAGTAATAATATACTGTCTATTTTCTTTGACAACTAGTAGTACGATACTGGTGTCATTAATAATTTAGAATATATTTTGTAAAATTTTTTCAGAAATTAATTTTGGGTTTTAGAAATTATTTTCTGAGTTTTTATTACTTAAAATTCTATTTAAGTATTTTATTTATTGAAGTGTTACAGAAATTAATTTTCTATGTGGAATTAATTTGGTTAAATAAAATTTTATTTTATTTTATTTCCAAATTAATTGAAAATTAAAAGTTATTTTCTTATTTCTTTTATTTTTACAGAATTTAATTCTGTGAATTTGGATTAGTTTTCTGTGTGGAATTAATTTGGTTAAAAAGAAATTTTATTTTATTTTATTTCCAAATTAATTGAAAATTAAAAGTTACATTTTGTTTTGTTTCTTTTATTTTAACAGAATTTATTTCTGTAGTTTTAGTTTAATTTGTTTAAATAAAATTTTATTTCATTTTCAAATTAATTGAAAAATAAAAGTTACATTTTGTTTTGTTTCTTTTATTTTAACATAATTTATTTCTGTAGTTTTGGTTTAATTTGTTTAAATGAAATTTTATTTTATTTTCAAATTAATTGGAAATAAAAGTTACAATTCTTGTTTCTTTTATTTTTACAAAATTTAAAATTCTATGTTTTTTGGTTTAAATTTTCTGTGTAGTATAAAATTCTAATTATAATTTATTTTATAATTTAGAATTTATGGCTACTAAAACTGGTCAAACTAATGTTCAAACCAGTACTGGTATTGTCACGACCCAAACCCACCCCTATAGGTTTAGCATCGTAACCAACCAGTAATCCTTAGATTATCGAAGGCCTCTGAACAGGTTAACAAAATTAAGGGACTAGCGAAAGCTAATACATAAATATAGTTGTCCAATGAGCTGTGCTGACTTATATGAACAGAATATTTAAAACTTTATATATATAACCGGTATTCAACCATACATTATACCTACACACATTACAGTATTTTAAGTACAGTCAATGACATCAAATCAAGTCTTATATAAACAGAAACCACATAGCTTAAACACAGGACGCTTCGGGAACCTCCACGTGGGGCACAAAGGTTGGCTGACAACAGAACACAGATCCAGACAAAAGCCTTCAGGCTCGGGCTCCAGAATGCTCACCTATACATATATATACACACAATGAGCTAAAGCCCAATGAATAACATTAAGGTAAAGAGGTTAGTGAACGAAATTCGAATATATCATAAGCAGAAAACAGACCAGAGTATAATCATTTTTATATCAGAACATAATAATGGTACATCTCATAGAACACATCGCAGAACGTCGTCCGACTAGAGTAATCGGTTCCAGATACCGATTAAACACATATCACCACAATGAAGTGGCTAACGAGATCTCGTAAACTTATATGTCATGGACCCGCATTTTCATGCTATCCCTCATGATTTGGGACTATCTATAGATGCCATAATAAATTTCAAACTTGGAATATTCGTTCACGAAAACAGATATCATTTCTGAAATCAGAACTTATCATATTTCATTTGGAACGTAATTCATATGAACGTATCTTTACAATAACGTTACTCACAGTGGTTTCAGTAAGCAGTCAATCAATCCTTGAGTCTTGACCTACAATTACAAAATACATAACACAAGTATGTCTTATCATTACACATTCAAGTGGCCATTAAGACTTAGCTTTCGTTACATTGGTTTTTATTCTTTCTTATCACATTGCCTAAAACACACACACATTTGCAGTCTCGGAACTTAGTACATTCTTTTCTTAGTGTGTTTCTAATCCATAACCTCATTACTATGGCTTAATTAAGGCTTAGGAATGCCTAAGATGTAATGAGGATGCCAAAACATGCCTTGGAACACTTAGGCAAAATTTCTGAAAATAAGGTCCACGCTCGAGCGTAGCTTTCCTTGCTCGAGCGAACGTGCAAAATGTGAATGGTCGCTCGAGCGCACATTCCTTCGCTCGAGCGATCTGTAAAAGACTTGAAACTTCTGGGAGCTTGCAATTCACGCTCAAGCAGACTTTTGGTCGCTCGAGCGGAGTGCACGCACTCAAATTCGTCGCTCAAACGTGAACTCCCACGCTCGAGCGTAGCTGCAAATTCTGGAATTTTCAAATTACACCTTTAAGCTCAAAACTAGAATTCCAACCTTCAAAACACATCTCTTGGGCCTCAAAACTTGAGATAACATAGTAAACTTGTAAAACAAGAAGAATTACAGATTATTTCATAAAATCATGGCCCAAGAGTTTGTTAAAAACTCACAATTTCAACTTAAAACATGATGAATGTTCATGAACACAACATGCATGGGTTTTCTTGGTTTTGAGCTTCCCAAAACATGATCAAACACCACAAAGCAACTTGAAACTTGATGATTTCCCCAAATGAAGATGAATTTCAAACATGCAAGAGAGGATTCATGGAAATCATGCTCAATTTGTAAGAAAATGTACATGCATGCAAAACTTTTCAATCTCTTTACTCCAAAACTCATGAAACTTGTAAATTAAGCTCATAAGCTCCATGCATGTAAGA